GGCCACGTCTGCGGAGTATGCAGCAAGCGTTCGGCGCCGCGGCGCCCTCGCCGGCGCACCGCGTCGCGACTATTTCGGCGAGTAAGCGTTACCGCTCGAGTCTGAACGTCTCGTTCAAGTAACCTCGGTCCCTGCAACAAACACTTTGCCGTCTGCAAGCAGATCAGGGCCTCATTGCAGAAGGCGCGCGGCGGGCAGTCGCGGGGGACGGTGGGCGACGAGCGGAGTCCGCGCCGCGCCACCGCGTGTCCGGACTAGCGACGCCCGCCAGTTCGACTGACGACCGCGGCGGTCGGCGACACGCGCCGAGGTGCGACGCGCGGCGCCCCCTCCGCTGGCGCCGGCTGTGCGGCGCGCGGCTTTGGAGGACGGATCGAATAAAGAGCACATGGCGTCCACATCGTGCGGATAAGCAGCGCCACGCTGCGAAATCTGCCGCAAGGCAGTTCTCGAACGTTGCGGGCGCGTGCTGCGCTGGAGCGCCGACGCGGACGCAGTGGCCGCGGGCGCGGGGCGCGCGGGCCGCGGGGGGCAGCGGCACGCTGCGCCCACGTGCGGCGTCGAAGTTCGCCGCAGAAGCGCGCTGAGTCGCGTTCGCAAAGGCGCTACGTGCGCGGCGCGCGGGGCGACGCGCGCGCCGGCGGCGGGCGCGGCGGACGCGGCAGCGGCGCAAGCACAGTATAGTGCACGGTGTGCGGCGTGCAGTTCAGCACGACCGGCGACTCGGCTGCGAGCGCATCTATGCACGCACGCCGAGCGAAGTCGTACAAGATTGTGAAGAGTGCTGGGGGCCGCCTTCAGAGCAGCGACAAGACGCTCGTGCAGACTCACCGGTCCACGGCAGAATTCGTCGCTAGCGCAGCCAGGAGGTTGGAGCTCGACCTCTCGAACGCTCGCGCACGTGCACGGCGATGAGTGCAGTTGAAATCTTAACGTAGCGCGGTGTTCGCAGCCGCGTTCGGGCGCGGAAGGAGTAATTGCTACTGCGGTCGATCGCAAGCCTGGCACGCATGGCAGAGACAGAGTGGACTCAAAAGGAATGTCAGGCTGATTTGTTGCCTAGCGGCTGCAAAGGCGTCCGGATCGCACTAAATCACGTGGAGTGGAGGCAGCCGTGCTCGCCAAAATGGCTGCCGCATTTCGGCCTTTTGCGAACAGCCGTGCGTGAGAAAGCGTGTCTGTTAGATGAGGACCCTGCAAGACGCTGTTCGCGCGTCGCGTGCATTCTCGTACGCGGTAAAATGTCCAAAGTATTCGCGTAATCAAAGTTTTATCGTTAGAGTACGTAGAATAGATTTATTATTTGACGACGCGGCTCTACGCAGCGACGGTCGTCTGCGTTATTTGTGCTCTCGAGGAATTTGTCTCGACAGCCGGGTTTGTGTATTCGTTTCAGTGTAATGCGCAGCAGCTTTCGCCACGTTCGCATTTACGGTCCGATTTTATTTGGTCTTCGGTAGTGGGCAGACTTGCTGCGTAATTTGATCGGTTGCAACAGTAAGTGTGGTTTGCTAATATTCAAAACTCTCTTACGAAATAAGCAAGTCAGGTGTATAAGTTAAGGGCGTACCCCCATTGTTAATGTAAGATATCTCAGTTAGTTTAGTGGTACATATTCAGTTCATAATCAATCATTTATTTTGACTTATCAAAGGTTTGAGACGGTGTGCTTTCAGTGGACGTTTACGCTGAGCTGCAACGGTCCTTGTTCAGTAATAAGAGATAAATTCTTAATATGTTCTTTGACTTTAATAATTTGTATATTACTTTTTTTGATATTTAAGTTCTGTTGATTTAATAAGCCATTTTGTTACTAGAACAACAATCGCAATATTATGACTACGGAAAATGCAACGAACAGATTGGTAATGTTTTTAGCCAGGTACATTTTTACTTGAACAGGATCCAAACGATATTTATCCTATATATAACAGCCTGTATCTAGAATTATCAAGTATAAAAACATTATACCAGTGATGGGTTTTAGTATTTAGGTATTAATTTTAAGGTTTCTGGTACTTTGGTGTGTAAGATAGGTATGTTCATATGTCCAATAACATAAATTACTTGTCCATATTGGCGATTATGACATATATAAAACAAAACAAAATAAACTGAAATCATCGAAGAATAATGACTGCAATATGCATCTTATCTCCACGTAAAAAACAAACTGCGGAACGACATTGTCATCCTCACAGACGACAGGGCAATATGAAAGCGATGACATAAATGTTGAAAATTCCAAGTAAAACTTAGGCAACTTTTTTGTTTGTTGGTTTACAGAATTTTTGTTGTGTTGATCAGATAGGTGTAATAAAAAAATTGTCGTTTTGTCAGATCAAACGAGTCAATAATACAGTGATACTGTTTAAAAGACAAAACCGACTTGTGATTATTTTTACTTTTATTATAACTGTGTTTATAAAATGTTTTTTTTTTTAACATTTACATTTTTATAATTTTAGAGAAAAGGTTGGCGGGAATAAAAAAAAGATTTTCAATATTGTTTTTTTCGTTTTTCTTGAAATTTCGGGTCGTGGCCGGATCTGTAAACCAACAAGATAAAAAATCTCGATTACTTCGGGTCCATTGTTTATTGAAACGGTAAAAAATTATCAAAAATGACGGGCTGATTGCACTGTAAATAATAGTTGAGATGGATATTGGGGATGGGGACTTGTAATATGCTAATTTACATTTTCATCTACTTAGTTATTGTCATGTAATTAGCGCGTGACGATAAACGAGTAATTCATTTACAAGCAGTCTATTCAAGGCAGCGTGTCCTGGACACTGTCATTAATCATGGGGCCTACTAACCTTTCCTGTAATCCGATCTTTTTCTAACAATCACAGTGCGGCTCCTAAAGCGGGCTTGATGATAGAGTAGAATCGTTCCTTGTTCCGTCCAGCGTCTTACAACAGACAGAGAAAGCAATCTACAGTAGGTGAGGCGCAACAGTCGTGTTGTAGCCATAGAAAGTAAATATAGGTAGATAAGTCTCTATGTATTTCTATGGTTGTTAGCACAGCCTCAGATAGCATAAATGCATTTAAATAAATAAATAAATGTATATACCTCTATTTAAGGCTCTGTGTTAGGTGGGATAGTCAGAGAAATGCATGTCACATGGGGAAATCGGCTTCTCTCTATTAGTTGTGTTTCTTTTGAAACAGCTATACTGCGATCTTTGACCTGTGAAAGACGATGAGAATCTCATCACCAATACACAGTCTTTCCATCAGATTGGAGATTTTCGCTAAATGTTATAAAGAGATCGGCAGTTATACTAACCAAATCACTAGCTACAAGGCAGAATCTAATCACGCACTAATCTGTATTAACCGCATAATACATGCAAATTTCGTTCTCTGATACTACCACTGCTAAATTATAGAAATTAGAACGGCAGTACTGCATTGCTACTAGTTAAAAGGTAAGCGGCCCATGGTCGCATTACCACACCTGCACAATCAATTGACATTCAAACAAAGTTTAGCTAAGTGTTGTGAACATGGGCAAAATCAAACGCCAGTTCATAAAGAAACACCGCGACGCTCGCATGAGGTTATTTGTTGATTACTGTATCGAGACAAACCAAATGACGTCTATTTATATGAACAAGATATTGGCACAAACTATAATGTATTAATAAATATGATTGATTTATACTATGTTTCTATAATAACACCAGAAGTTCATCATGTTGTATAAACAAATGTTAGCAGTCAGCAAAAACTAATGAGATTATAAAATGCGAAAACTAAAACAATCATCTGTCTGTAAAGAATATCTTGGTTGCAGCCAAAGAAGTGTATTCTATGCTGTCAGCAAATGAACAGCTGAAGGGTAACAATAGGCACATGAACCTTCCTCGCACCGCAGTTGAATACAAATTAAATGTTGCAAAAAGGGAAAAGGCAAAACATCAACGATTGGCAAACTCGCACAGACACACAGAGCACAGAACTGCTGAAATAGCACTACATACAGTAATAAATAGAATAATTAGGGTGTTGTCTAGAATCGGATCCAAAAAGCAGAGAGATTCTCGTGAACTGTGAAGTCTACATGGATTGAGTATCAAGGGGTACATATATTGAGTCTCGTAATTATTGCACTCTTGATTAGGTATGCATGGTTGTGTTGTGTGTGCTTGCAGTTTACTGCATGTATGTGTGTGTGTTTTAGAGTTATTTACAAAATACCACAGTTGTGGGGATATATTATACAATCAGACGACCATATTATTAGCTGGAGTTAGCTAGGTGCAGGTGAGGTAGGTATTTTGCATGTCTCTTCTTGTGCTGGTTCAGGCCCGACCGGTCCTTGAACGCGGCACCGCACAGCGTGCGCACATTGAACGTCTCGCCCGTGTTGTGAACGGTAGTGGCTCTTGTAGCCCGACACGTCCGAGAACTCCCTTGCCGCAGACGGTCGCACTTTGTGAAAACGGCTTCTGCCGTGTGCGCGGTTGTGTATGTAGAGTCCGGCCGGCAGCGCGGACGATAGCGCGCACCCTCTTGTTCCGCGGGCGGCCGCTCGCGCTTGTGCACGAGGCGTGGTTTCAGCTGCCGTTTGACGCGCATGAACGCCGCGCTGCACACGTGGCACTTGTAGGCGGCGGCTCGCGCGCGTCGCCGTGCCGCCGCATGTGCGCCTATCACCGTGCTCGCGTGCCGGAACGTCATGCGGCAGACCGCGCACGCCGCTACAGCGGGGGCATCGCGATGGCGAGTGGCAGTGTTGACGTGGCCGCTGAGCATGGGAGCTCTTCGAGAAGACGGGTCGCACTGGTGACACGGCACGACTCGCCGACACCCTCCGACCGGGCGCCCGGCTCCGCTCGCGGCCTGCCCCTCGCCGCCCGACCTCCGCGGCACCGCTGCGCTACGGTTACCTCGCCCGTCGACCCGCGCATGCTGCATCTCTCCTCCCGATCCCGCGTGTGCCGCGTGCCTCACGTCGACAACTGGGGGTGCGCGCAGCATGCTTCTCACTGCATCACGGGGAACGTCGGCCGGCGGCAGCTCCCGTCGTCCGTCTGCCGCCGGGATGCTGCTTGCCGGCGCCACTGCGTGGAACGCGCCAGAGTTGTCCGGGATCGAGGGGATCTGCACGGTGCTGGATCTGCGGTAGTACTTCGCCGCGGGTTTCTGCTGCTTGCTGCGTTGTCGAATGTGCGGAGCCGTGCCGCCGCCGCCGCATCCCGCCCGTCGCGAGTCCGCGCTGCTGCGCGTGGCGGCGGCGGCGGCGGTTCGTCCGGCGGCCATTCGGGCGCGAGCTGCGGCCAGCCGCCGATCGAACTCAGCGGCAGTTCGTCACGCAGCAAACTCTCAACGTGCTCATAGTCGAGTCGCCCGCCGGCGCCGGCACCGTCGTCCGCGGCAACGCGATCCCACGTCGCGTCCTCTCGTGCGTGAACGGAGAGGGCGCCACCATCCATGCCGAGACCGGCTTGCGGTGGACGCCCCCGCGCGAGATCTCCTCCTCCTCCTCCTCCTCCTCCTCCGCCGTTGTTGTCGTGGGTTTCGTGTCTCCTCCTCTTGCATGCGTCATCGCGTCCCCGCGCGGGGTTTCCGCGTTCGTCCCGCGACGCGGGAGCTATCCCGGAGAGGAAGTCCTCGAGTCGGGAGGCGGCGGCTGGGAGCGGCGCCCCCGCGCGCAAGTCCGCCGCGAGAAACCCACACTCCTCCAGCGCGATCATACCCTTGTCGTCGTCTGCGGCAACAGGCCCTGCACAAGCCGCAACGCCATCGTCCGTCGTCACGACGACGGGATCCGACGAGATCGCATCGCTGCCGTCGTCCGTCGCATGTACACCGTATGCGACGTCCCGAGCCGGCGCCGGCGCAGACGCGCACGGCCGGTCCTCTGCGACGTCGTCCGGTGGCTCCATCTTCACGGCGGCGAGCGACAAGGCGTGTCTCAAAAAGGTCTCGCCCGAGGGTTCGGCATCGTGGCCGCGGCACACCAGCACCTTGCAGTGGACGGTGCGCGAGTGCCGCGCGAATGACGACTCTGTGAAAAAGCACTCGCCGCACGCCAGGCATCGGTAGTAGGTCGTCGAAGTTGTCTCCATCGCGGATTTTCACGACTCACTCGCAAGCGTAGCGAGTTCCGTCCTGTAAGATGTTTGACATTTCTAGTCACAAGTCACGGACAATATGCGGCCGTGCATTATTAAAACTGGACATTATTTTACTACAATTTTTAATGATTGTCAGATTGAGACCGACTCTGAGTCACTGAGTCAGTGAGTGACACTGATTCAGTGATTGTAAAAAACTAAAATCAACTAAATGTTCTTTTACTTTTAGTTTTACTGAGTAAGTATACATAACATTTTACAGTTATTGTTACCTACTTACCAAATTCTGACGGCTAGAAATATAACTGTTCAAAATTTACGAACAAAACATACTGGGAGTGGGAGTGACTGAGAGTTGGAATAAAGGAAATTCTTGTGGGCGCAGCCATTATTGTTTTCAAACAAGGGAGCATCTAGGGAAAAATGCAAATGGCCGCGCCCGCAACATGTTAAGTTTACCTTGTTTTAGGTGTATTTGGCATTGACATTAGTCTTCTACTTAAACTGCCTATTTTTGATGCTACAGTAAGTATATGAATTGTTTAGAAATTTATTGTGTTCGCGCATTTCCGATTTTTTGTCAAATTTGTCTACGCTTTTTATATCAAAATTAAAATTCACAATTTCTTTGTTCTCGGTTGTCTGTTTTGCGTTATTACTATCACTATCAGGCCTACATAGTCGTGTTATTATACTACAATCGTCACGATGATAATACACGTAACATATTTATGATTTTGTAATAAAATTAGACGCTATCAATGCAATTATTGTATAATATGCAGTTATTGTTGTCTAAAGAAAAATGATTTGCCGTAACAAACCTGTCAAACGTATGCGGTATCGGGTATGGTATGGATGTTTTTGTTGGTGATTGTTCAGAACCCGGTTCCACAGACGTGGATTAACTTTAACTCCGAGTTAAAGCTAATTCTGTGTTAAACTCACTAACTCTGAGTTAGTAAACTCCGAGTTAAATTTGGGTTTCATAAACATGGATTAAATCCTGAGTTAAGTAACTCGGAGTTAAATGTTTTAACTCGGAGTTAGTATCCTATAATTCCACGTAGTTAAAACAGACGAACATGATAAATGCATGATAGACGCATAGCCGATAGACGCATGATAGACGCACGAACATGGTAGAAGAAGGTGTAATGAAAGAACGTTATAGTGAAAACCGGCAGCGATAAATAAATGAGGGAAAATATTTTGCCAATGGGGGGATTGAACCCACGACGCTCGCGTCATTCGCACGAAGCTTTAACAGCTGCGGCTATTGCGAAATCGCTAAATATCGTACATTTTCCTGTATTATCACAGTACGGGGATGCCTGGATCAGTGTTGGTACACGCCATCAATGGCCGACCAATGTACAATAAACGTAAACAAACACCGTATGTTCCAGCGGGGGATCGGACACGGGGCAGTACTAGATAAACTAATTAGCTCTAGTACTAGTATCCTAGAGCTATTAGCTAACCTCGTAGAAAATAGTCTTCAAAGTCTAAAGGATTATACCGAAGACTATCTATAACTGAATCGAATGTAACTTGATTTTTAACCCTGAGTTAAGAGTTTAATCTAGGTTCATACCAGAGTTAAATTTTAACTCAGAGTTAGGCATATTTAACTCAGAGTTAAAGTTAATCCACGACTGTGGAACGTGTTAAGAGTTAATCCACGTCTGTGGAACCGGGTCCAAATTAAGCTTGGTAAATTAAGACAATAGACTATATGTTATGTTGTATCGTATCTTAAATCGTCACAAAATTCTTGATTATTAATGTCATATATGTTTACTTTTATAAATTGCTTCAACTTTCAATTTAAATTGCCAGTTTTTAAGCGCTAGAGAATATTTTGTACAGTAGAAAAAAAATCGGCCCAAGGATATTATAAGAGCTGTCCACATTGCATATTTGCACATGTTGCATATTTGCAATGAATTGTGGTCAGCGCTTGTATGCGTGAACCGAAACATCTCATTGGCTAATGTTACGTGGGTTTAACTCTTCATGTCTTCTTGTAAAGCTAGCAGCATAGGTGTCATAAAAATCACAAAGGGAAATTAGAAAATCTACAAATACAATTAACGTTATTAATGTTAATAACGCCATGAGTGTAAATAAAGTGATCGAATTGAATTAAATTAAATTAAATTAAATTACCACTACTGATTATCATGCATTCAAATGTAAAAAAAAAAACAAGAAATAAAAATAGAAGTCGTAAACGCATTTACCTCTAATTAATTTACTGCCGGTTATCGCGTGTCTTTGCCTACGTTGAGCGACGTATAACCCGACTGCTTTCTCGTCTTTCCAGGCCATGGCCGCCGCGATGCCGTCTGTAGTCGTAGTGAAACAAGAGGCTAGCGCTCGCTCCTGCGCCACGCGCAAGCGCAGCAACCCGGTGAAGTGCGTGCGCGTGGCTCCGCCGCAGAGCGTCACGACGACCTACTACCGCTGCACCGCCTGCAGCGAGTGTTTCTTTTCCGACGACGCGTTCGTGCGCCACGCGAAGACGGTCCACTGCAAGGTCCTCGTCAGCCAGGGGCAGGATCCCGACGCCGACGCCGACGACAGCGGCGGATACCCAGGGGGCGCCGCCGCCTCGGGCGCGCACGGATACTTGAACGGCGACTTGAACCCGTACCTGTGTGCGATCGTCGCTGCCGCCGACGACTCCGCGGCGACGACGCACGGTTACTACGGCGACGGCGACGCGGGCGCGGGTTTCGATGGCGGCACGCGCTCCTCCGGGGCCCCGCTCGAGCCGCAGCTGCGCGCCGCCATGTTTTCGAACGCGTTCGTCAAGGCGGAGGACGCCGAAGCTTCTGATTCCTGCCAGCAGGTGGCGTCGACGGCAGATGGCGGCGGCGCGTGGCCGTGGGTGTCGGACTGTAGCGGTCTGTCCGCCGGCGGCTGGGGCAACGAGCAAGAAAACCTTGACACCTCTGTCGCTGCCGAAGGAGGAGGAGGGGGAGGTCATGCGGAGGTTGGGGCGCAGGGGGCGCCGCCGCTGCCGGCGCAGGCAGACGTGGGAAATCCCGTTCTTCCGGACGCGGGTTTCCCGGACGGCGGGATAACGCTCGACGCATCGGCCGCGCTCGAGATCTGGGGCTACTCAAGCGACGCGGATGCCGACGACACGCAGAGCCTCCTGGCGGCGGTGGTCGCGTACGACGACGACGGCGATGACCCGCAGGACCTGAGTCTTAGACGGGCGCCGGCGCTGAGCATCACTCGTCCGCTGCACATCGCCAAGCGGCCGCGCCTCGCGTCGACGATCAAGGAGGAGGTCTCGGACGCGGCGGGCGGGTCACCCGAGGTCCCTCCGGTCGAGGCGGAGGTCGCCACGCCCCCGCCGGCCGCCGCTAACGGCCCGCAGGGGGCGCCGGCGGCGGCGGAGAGCAACCCGCTGTCGTGCAAGCTGTGCGCCGGCGTGTTCTCGCATCCGGGCCTCCTGAAGCGGCACATGAACACGAACCACAGCGACAACGTTCCCGTGCACGCGTGCGCTCGCTGCGGCGCCGCGTTCCGCTGGTCGGGCACGCTGCGCGCGCACATGCGCAGTCACCTTGCCGACTCGTCGTCGATGCCGCACCGCTGTGAGACGTGCGGCGCGACGTTCAAGATCGCGCAGCAGCTCGACAGCCACCGGCTCGTGCACACGAGCGAGCGTCCGTGGAGCTGCGACACGTGCGGAGCGACGTTCTCCCGCCAGAGCACGCTGTACGTGCACAAGCGCATCCACACGGGCGTGAAGCCGTACAAGTGCGACCTGTGCGGGAAGGCGTTCACGCAGCACAGCGCGATGAAGGGACACCGGCGCATACACACGGGCGAGAAGCCGTTCCGCTGCGAGACGTGCCCGAAGGCCTTCACGCAGCTGAGCGCGCTGAAGAACCACCGGCGCGTCCACACGGGCGAGCGGCCCTACAAGTGCCGCACGTGCAACGCCGCCTTCAAGGACTCCTACGGACTGCTGCACCACGAGAAGGTGCACGCGGCGGCGACGGACGAAAACGGCGCGGCGTCGAGCGGAGAGGGCGCCGGCGCGTCGGCCGTCGCCGTGCCGACGACGCCGGCGCGTCGCGGGGGGACGGACGAGCGACCGTTTGGCTGCGAGACGTGTGGCGCGACGTTTTCGTACCACGCGAATCTGATCGTGCATCGGCGCGTGCACACGGGCGACAAGCCGTACAAGTGCGACTTCTGCGGCAAGGCGTTCTCGCAGAGCGGCACGCTGACGGCTCACCGGCGCATCCACACGGGCGAGCGGCCGTACCGCTGCGACATCTGCGGGCAGGGTTTCACGCAGCGCAGCGGGCTGAAGGCGCACCAGAACATACACAACCGCGTCGCCAACGCCTAGGACGCGGCGGCGTCAACGCCTAGGACGCGTCGCCAACGTCTAGGGCGCGGCGCCACTGTCTAGGACGTGGCGCCAACGTCTAGGGCGCGGCGGCGCGAGGCGTTCTCTTGTCTTCATGCAGTGCAGCGGGCTCAAGGTGCACCAGAACATACACAACCGCGTCGCCAATGTCTAGGACGCGACGGCGCGGAGCCGCGAAGCGTTCTCTTGTCTTCCGGCGGCGCGGAGGAGGACGCGCGCTCGTCTTCCCCTCGTGCGTGGACGACTTCGTCGACGCGAGCGATGCTCTCTTGTCTTCCGCCGGCGCGCTGACGTTTTAAACGCCGCCAGCGGACGCACGGCGCCCTCTATCGTCTTCCGTGAGCTCCTCGACGCCGCACGTGGCGCCATCTATCATCTTTCTCTGCGAGCGAGCGATTGTCCTCGCGGGGCGGCGTTTTCGTATGGGCTAGGGTCGTCGCCGAAGGTGATGTTTACGCCCCCTGGTAATGGCCATTTCTATCCAATGTTTAGTGCTTTCATGAGTGACGGTACTTAAATCTTAACGGGCGCCCCCGCACGGCCGACGGCGAGCGCCAGCGCCGGCCGCCTGGTGCCCGGCGCCGAATCTACGCGGAGAGAAATAATCTCGCCGGAGGTAATATTTATACTATTTAAAAAGCCATTTTACAATTTACTATGCAACTGTGGAAATCGTCGCGAAAAATTGCGAGAAAATGAATGAACGTAGTGCAGTTACATAGTAGAGACGTGTTGTGATATGTACATGTATCCAGCCATTTATATTTTGATGTCTATTTATCTTTTTATCGCGTAGATCGGGAGTGTATACGTGTTTCTGTGTGTAGTATCTCCGCTTCTAAAGCCGGAGCCGTAGCGTAGTAGTAGCATGGCGTCGTCGTTGTTGTTGTCGTGCCGCGCGCATCTGTCCAATTGATCTTGTATTCGCGTATTATCTGTTGTGGGGAATACGAGGAGCGACCTTGGGACGCGACCTTGCAAGGTGACCTTGCGAGGCGACGGTGGGAACGATAACGCATAGCGTATCGTCTTGGCCCTCCCTCTTCCTACGTCCCCGATTTCTCGAATCTCATCTCGTGCATTCACGAGCCGTGAAACAGTGACAGTGAGCCGTGACAGCGATGGTGACAGTGACAGTGACGGTGTGACAGACGTCGTCGTGTGACGTGTGTCTCGTACTCGGCCCCACGCGCTCGACGTATTTTTGTGCAGCGAGGTACGTGTTCAGTCGACGACGCGACTGTATGCATGCGTGCGTGAGGGATTCGAATGCAAGAGGTATTTATAATTGCTTGTGGCCCGTCGTCGTAGTTGTTCCGTGGGTGTCTGTCTAGCGTAGGACGTTTCGCGGCGACAGTGTCCGGTTTATGAAACCCCGACGCTCGCGCCGCGACGTGCACTTAGTCGACAGTAGAATCGTAATTTTTGTCGTCGCTAAAGTCGTAGCTATGCAGTAGTAGGTTTTTGGTGACGACGGGAGGAGTAGATTGATGTTTGTGACGGTAACGAAGAGTGACTTGGAGCGAGTCGATGTTGTGAAGTGACGGTACGTGTCGAACCGAGTACGTATTTGTACACGTACGTACGTGCGTGCGCGTATACATACATACATACCGGGCGTAAATAATTGCAAACATCATTTGTGATTATTTACTCCTGATACATACATACATACATACATACATACACACACACATATATATATATATTATATATTATATATTATACAAACTTACACGTTTATGTGTACGTGCGTACGTAGCTAGTATGTGTCCACGTTTCGTGTTTAGCGTACGATCAGGAGTAATTAGTGGTAAAGAACAGTGTATGAGTACAAGTGTATGAGTGGCGTTCTCTGTACTTGCCTTCGATGGAGCGGCGCATGCTTCCACGATTCTGGGGGGGGGGGGCGGTCTCCGATTGATTGATCGTCAACAGATCTATGCATTTATGTGTGAGGCCACGCTCAAAACATCTCCCGTTCGCCAACGATTGTCGCGGTTGTCGCGACAAGTCAACTTCTCTTGGAAGTTCATTCCCAAGAAACTTGGTAAACGAAGTGCAATGTAAGTAAAAAGGTAAATGATGTGCATCTGATTATTATGTGTATATGAACTCTGTATGCTCACACATGTATATGTATATATACATATACATATATATATATAAATATAAATATTTATATATGTATATACATACGACATCTACGACAATGGCGAATGCGGCAAGGTTTTTCCCCTACACTTCTGAACCCTTAGGGTCGTGTTGTGGCAAACGGGACGGGACGTCGTTTTGAGGGTGGCCCGGTGTGTTTGGTGCAATGCCTCCTGTGCGGCGGCCACTTCTCAACCGAAGTCATTGTCTTTGTCCCTTCGGCGATTCGCGTCGCTCCGAGCGACAGATCCGGGTGAATATTTTTTTGGGGGAAAGCAAGTTTAGCGCGGTTGCTCGATATGCTAAGCGAGGGCGCCACCGGCAGATGAACGTGATCTTCGCGATTCCGCGTCTCATGCCTCCTCTTCCCCTGCCGCCGCCTTCCTTCCACGATTCTGCGATCCCGCGTGGGCGGTCTTTTCTCTCCTCCACCACTGCCATCACTACCAGCACCCCCTCCCTTCCCCTGGCGTCGCGGCCGGGGCAATGGAGTCTCCCCCGCAAAACGCGAACACCATTGCTTGCTTCGTGATTCCACAAAAGGGAAGATTTTGTCGAGGGATCCCCCCCTCCTCCCCTTTGCCCTTCCTTAGTTATTAAATTTTTGGAACATTTATTAAACTCTATTAATGAAACATTGTTTTTGCGAGGCACCCACCCGCGTTCGAATCCCCCCGCGCGTGCGCGAGAGACAGTTTTATATGTACTGTATTGCGTATACGTCTTATTTAATTTACCGATTTTAAACTCGCGAGAGAGAGTCACCACGACCGAGAGTAGATGTTTACATAACTCGTTTTTGCGAGAGAGAGAGAGGGTGGGAAAGAGAGAGAGAGGGAAGACGCGATTGAAATGGGCCTCTGACAACGAGGTGTTGAGAATGACTGACGTTCTAGCAGGAGGTAAACGCTAGCTCCTGGAGAGGCAGTAGCCGAAACCATGGCGACCGTACCCCCGCTCTTCTTTCTTCCCCCTCTTCTCACTCGGCTGGATATTCGGATTTGTATTCGATTTCGGATTCGAGTTCGTTCAGTTAAACGGAAAATCACTCTCTGACGGCGCGCGCGACAGTTAAAAATAGACCCGAATTTTGTTTGTTTGGCGACGTCTCATAGGTCGCTGTAACTCGTTCCTTTACTGAGCGTATCTGTACTTTGTGGTCAGTCCTCCTCCCTCCTCCGCCTCCGCCGCCCGCCAAAAATCCTTTTGATGAAAGCGGGCGACTTTCGAATGAAATTGCGAAAGGCTTTTTGAAAGGTAGTCGTCTCTCGTTATTGTACGCGGTACCTTTTTCAAGGCCGTCTGTTTTACCTGTGAATGATTAGTGAGTCTGGATTGCCCTCCCCCCCCCCAGCGCCCCGTGCTTATATACTGATTGCTTTTTAATTACAGGAGCTTCGACAATCACGAGCGAAGTATTTTCTTTTATATGTGGCCAGTATTTTTTGGTACACCACGATATTTCTTTGGGATTTCTTTTTTTTGTATGTTTTTACAGAACAAACAATGCTATGTTTACACGAATCGAAGTGCCTTCGTTCTCGCTTGGCTTCTGTTGTTGTTGTTGTTGTAACGGAGCGAATTATCTAGTTAGAAACTGCTGAAATTTAACATAAACATAATTAAATAAATTAAACATACACAGGCATATACATTACATTACGCGACAATTCATCTCCCTCTTTCTTTTCTTTCTAATCTTTTTCTCTTTTTATCGGGCGCTATATATATATAATTATAATTAAATTATAATATAATTATAATTATATAAACTCGTCTCTCCGTTTCTTCCTCCTCCTCACTTCCAATCCATAATCCCATTGTGGAAATCCTATGTTTCATTTTGACATTCTAGCGCCATCTAGTGTGAATAATAATTGTATTGTAAAGTAATTGTAAATTAAACATACACAGACGTATTATTATATAATTAACGGCCGCGACAATTCATCTCCCTCTTTCTTTTCTTTCTAATCTTTGTCTCTCTTTATCGGGCGCTATATATATATAATTATATATATACTCGCCTTTCTCCGTTTCTTCCTCCTCTTTGGAAGTTAATGGGTGGAAATTAATCCCATTGTGGAACTTTTATGTTGAATTTTGACATTCTAGCGCCATCTAGTGTGAATAATAATAAAAAATAATTATAAAGTGCGTATTATTCCTTACTTCCTTACTCCCCTCTCACGGATGGTATCGCCCATGGTCAGTCAAGCGTGAAAAATCTTTGACAGAAAGTCTTTGTGTTTCGGCTCAAACTTTTTCACCACCCGAACCATAAAATGTGAATTTACGCCTACAATACACGCGCACGCGTGCGTGCGACCACACCCGCGTGTGCGCGTCCGGGCGTGTCTGTGTGTGTGTGTGTGTGTGTGTGTGTGTGTGTGTGTGTGTGTGTGTGTGTGTGTGTGTGTGGGTGTGTGTGTGCGTGTGTTCGTGCGTGCGCCTGTGCGTGTTCGTGTGCGTGTGTGTGTGTGTGTGTGTGTGTGTGTGTGTGT